CAATGGTCGTCTATTCTTACCCAATAGCATATCTTGAAAACTAGAGCCAATCAACAATTTTAAGCATCATTTTCGTTCTCAGTGACCCAGAATTAGTAAAGTTTGACTACATTTATTTCAGAAGCATTTTGGCTGTAGAGCAGTGTTACCAGTGCAGCTGTTCTGCTCAAAGGCTCCTTCCGTTACTTGATGATGAGGACCAGGGGTGAAAGTACCTTAATGGACTTACCAGTACGCAGAGTGGCCAGGGTCCTGAACAAGGTGGGGGCGGGGCCTCAACCGGAAGGGACGGGGCTGTGGCCAGACTCCCCCAGCCAGCCCTTCAGTGGCAATTTAAAGGGCCCAGGGCTTCCCGCCGTCGCTAGCGCTACCCCAGGGCTCAGACAGCAATTTAAAGGGCCAGGGCTCCAGCTACTGGTGCCATAATGGTAGTGGTGGCCAAGAGCCCGGGCCCTTTAAATTGCTGCCGAAGCCCTGGGGCTCCCAGCCGCTGCTGGTACGGTCGGCTGTGAACCAGCTCTTACCGGTACACCGTACTGTACTGGCTTACTTTTCAGAGAGAGATGCAAATTGAAAGTTCCATGATTTTCCTGCTCTCGCTGGTGCTTGGCTCCTGGACGTGGCAGTCTGTTCTTTCCTCCAATGTACATATACAAAAAGTATTGGACTATTGTACCAAAATGAGGAAGAAATGTAAATCTTATGATCTGAGATTTATGGTGTTATCAGTTTTCTCACATAAGCTATAGGGGCAAATCCTGAGTCTCACACTCTTTTTACTCACTCTTTACGCAAGCAATCTCCCACTGAGATAAAGAGAGAGTTGCCTTAATTAAAAAAATAGAAATTTAAGGATGTGACTCTCAAATAACTCATTCTAAATGTGATGATTGATTTAAATATGAAGATTCAGATAATATAATATACAGTAATTGAAGTGGACAACTATTTTTATAAACCAAATTTTTTTGTTTTGTGTAGATAGTGCATCAAAAACTTTACCACCCTGTATAAATATTTTTATTCCAAGTTCATCAGAGTTTTAGAAATACGTTGTTAGATGTGCTTGAACTGACGAGACGTAGAGGGCACTGTTGCACTTACTAATCTTAGACACTGTGTGATTTGAGGTCTGAAATCAGCTATTAACCATTTATTTTGTCTTGTGGCTCATATTGGATATTTATTATTATTTGCCAGAAAACAAGGATTTTTTTTTAATCATAACTAGCTATCTATCTCACCAATGTAAGGATGTGCTAAAGCTGTTTCATGAATGATCTTAGCAGCACATGGTTTATATTTTATAGGCCTTTAGCTGACACATTGATTTCACTCTTGGCTATAAAGTTTTAAGCATGATGCACTGGGAGTTATGTTACCAACTCTTTCTGCGAAAGGTGAGCTGGTAAGGGGAGTTTTTGTTCCACTTTTTATCCTGAAGTACAAAGAACAAAGTTCAGGGTTTTGTGTTCCTTGTCAAGGGTTGATGGCATTACTAACATCTTAATCAGCACAGAGAACAGTTGCATGGGAAACCTGGCAGCCTCTAGGGAAATTACTGGAAGTCAGAGGTGATTTTCATTTATTTTCTTTTAATAGATTTGTTATTTTGGGGCCAAGTTTTCAAAGAAGCCTAATGCCAGCCTCAGCTGTGTGTGAATGAGTCATTGTTTCAATCCCAGCTCTCCTGCCATATAGATCAGTAATAGGGGGAGGGCAGCTTGTGAGGAGGTGGATTATCTGCTTCCACCAGCAAAGAGGTCCCCTGACCAGGGGGGGATTCTCCAGGATCCATTTCTACCTACAAGTGGTGCAAAGTGGACCTTTGTTGTCACATTGCTGTACCATTACAGCATTTCCTGACCTGACCCGCACACACTAGTCTCTGACTTATGCTCACCGAATGGGGATACCAAACATATTTCCTGTAACATGCAGTGTGGAAACAAAAAACAAATCCACCCTCAATATTAAATAACATAGTTGCAAGCTTCAACTATGTTAAAAAATACATACATGGAACCTGGTTACATGACAGACTATAGCTCTTCCTGTGTAATTCCTTCGTTGTTGTAATCAGAGGCTCCTGAGCAAACAGCGGTTTAAAAGAATGATGGTGGCAGAGCATCTTCCACATAGGTCCGTAACTCAAGCCTTCCCCCTGCCCCCTGCTCAACATCCTGTCCAATCCAGAAATATGGTGATTTCCTGGGCACACTGCAAGGCAGCTTGGTTTAGTGGCTTAGGCACTGGGTGCATGAGTCTCAGGAGACCTGGCTCGGTCACTAGGGTGACCATATGTCCCGATTTTATAGGGACAGTCCCAATTTTGGGGTCTTTTTCTTATATAGGATCCTATTACCCCACACCCCCATCCCAATTTTTCACACTTGCTGTCTGGTCACTCTATTGGTCACTGACCTGCGGTATGTCTGTAAGCAAGTCACTCCACCGGTCTGTGCTCTTCTTTCTCCTCCCGATCTTCTGTTTTTGTCTATTTAGTTGTAAGCTCTTTATGGCAAGGAACATCTCTTACTAGTGTATGTACAGAGTCTTGAACAATTGGTCTTCATCTCATTTGGTTTTTCTAGGTGCTCCTGAAATATAAATAAGAAAGGCCCATTTAGTTTTTCAGAGGTTGGGGAATGGTTGAGTTTCTGCAGTTGTTATTCTTTTTTTTTTTTCCAGCACCCAAAACTATTCAGGGCCCTCTGCCAGGGTGCAATAGATGGGGAGGGAGTCACTTTGAAGGCTGATTTAATATAAAGGGGTTGATATGTTGCAACATCTTTGTCCATTTTGGATTTGTATTTCTTTGATCTGATGTATTTGTAAATGTTTTGAGAAGCCTGGGAAGCTAAGGAAAAGCACTTTAAAACAAATACTTAAATAATAGTGCCCTGTACTGAGCAAAAATCATATTTTGGGGCTTGGTGAATTAGTTTCCCATTTGGGATGTGGAGTCCAGTATTTTCTTACGTTTTCTTATATTAAGGTTATGTACAAAGTGTACACATGTCCTGTTTCCTTGGAGAACACTGGGAACAAACTGCACACAGGCGGTTTTGTAGAAACCTCATAAGGTCCCATTGCCATTTTAGAGACTAAAAGCTTAAAGTTAACAGATTACAGTCCTTCTCTACAGCAGCTTCTCACCCTGTAAGCCTTTCTGCAGAGCTTGCTAGTTTTCAGTCAGATCCAAATGATCACGAATCACCTGCCTCCACCAAGGTTGTTCCCAGGGCTGGCTCCAGGGTTTTTGCCGCCCGAAGCGGCGGAAAAAAAAAGAAAAGGCGCGATTGGCGGCAGCTCCACCGCGCCGCTTTCTTCTTCGGCGGCAATTCGGTGGCAGGTCCTTCCCTCCGAGAGGGTCGAAGGGACCTGCCACCGAATTGCCACCGAAGAGCCCGACGTGCTGCCCCTTCCCCTTGGCCGCCCCAAGCACCTGCTTGCTGAGCTGGTGCCTGGAGCTGGCCCTGGTTGTTCCTCAGTGAAATGGATAATGAGGTGTTGTCCTTGCACAGCCTGTTATAATCCAGAAGACCTTTGAAATGCAGGGTGTTTATTCTCTACTGTACTTCTGCTAGGTTGTCTTCTCATTCCTATGTTAACTTGCTTTTCCAGATTACATGCTGTGCAAACGTAACTCCCGTTGGTTTTGGTTCACAATGATTAATTTATGTAGGACAGAAAGATAACTATCTTCCCTCTGGTCTTGCAGATACCTATTTCTCGCTTTGTTTGGTTACAGACTTTAAAGTACAATATCAGCAGTATACGTAATTTCTCAGAAAGTGAATACATACATTTCACAATGATATTAATGACCAGTGTGTCACTAGCTTTCATTTGATACCTTACAGGACACTTTTTGAATAAATACTATGAAAGGAGTTGAGGAGGTCGACAAATATATTTACCTGTGTCAGCAGCTGAGCAGAGACAACTCATTCGAAGGGGAATGCAGCAGGAGGCGAAAGGCAGGGTGGGCGAGTTTCAACAAAATAAAGACGTCTCTAATGGATGATGAACTGCCCATGAGGAAAAGGAAAGAACTGTTTAACTTCACCATTCTGCCAGCAATGATATATGGAGCGGAAAGCTGGTCAACAATGAAAGTGGAGGAAGAAAAATTCACTGTCACCTAGAGAATGATGGAAAGGTGAATGTGTAAGATATCACTCCGTGATCACATACCGAATGAGATCAGAAGGCATACAGAGGTGACCGATGTAGTGCAGGCGATGTACGACGCAAAGCGGAGATGGGTGGGTCGTGTAGTCTGCAGGCAAGACAATCAGTGGACAACCCGCATCAGTGACTGGATCCCCAGTGACCACAAGCGACCACTGGGCAGACAAAAACATGCTGGGCTGATCCCATGACAAAACTCTTTGGCCAGAAATGGAAAGAATGTGTTCAAAACAAAATGGAATGGTGTGGTGTCGACTTGTGTTCGTGGAGAGCCAGATGAGGACAAGCTGGACAAAGGTGACTATGAAAGCAGTGTGTTAGGTGTAGTGAGTATGTCAGGGCTGTCAGGAAGTGCTGTTACAGAACAACGAACCCTTTGCCAGTTGGCATTGAGGAGTTCATAGGGTCAGAGTGCCCATTTTCACTTTTAAGACCCTGCACCTTTGCATCTGGGAAACTCTTAGTCTGAGCTTTTCCTTGGAATACATGGTCTGGAAAAGCGGTGCCCATTACCCCTCCTTTTGTGCAACTGCTCTGCAATAGTAAGAAACTTAGAGAGGTCTAAAGTCCCTGGCAAAAGGAGAGTGCTTTTTAACCCACATGCTGCTCTTCATGACTTTCTGGATGCAACAACTGCATGGCATCTTTAACTCTTTCTATGGGGAACTTCATCCTGGGTGCTTCAACATCCATGAACCCTACACATGTGAGCCATTTGTACCTTTCACCATACAAATAATGTAACTTTAACTCCTCTCTCATCTTAAGGTTCTAAGGGATACAGTTAAAGTCGGATATTAATTTGGTCTATGCGGTCGATGCCACTACTGGCTTCATCGCTCTCCTTCGGTTGTGGCTATTGTGCCACTAGTGGTGGTCCAGGAAGCCCCAGTGAAGAGACTGAAATCCTATAGTCTAAGGATGGAAAAGATAGTTACAGAATAAAGATAATTAAGGTCACTGAAGAAGAGGCTGCTAGAGAAGGGAAGGGTGCTAGTCATCTCCAAGAAAAGAAGTCTAAATTTATAAATCCAAGGACAGAGAAGGGTCCATGTTTGTTCTGCAGTTTTATTCTGATGCCACTTCAGCAACATGCTTTTAATTTTTATGTTGAAGGTTCACAGTGTGCTAAATAATGACCAGCCACATGAATTCAGATGGGAATAAGTAAAGATTGAACGTGTACAGTATTGCTCCTAGCCATTGCTAGCTGAGTTAATAACTCAGTGTTAAAAGAAAGGGTAATATTCCATTCTAATAACCTGACACTTGTTGAAAGTGTCAGTAAACAACCAGCATGTCCTGCATCCATTATGATGAATGATTGTGTTAAGATGCCTGCTGGTTAAAATCATTTTTTAAATATATGCTATATTTCTGTCAGGAAAAAACCCACAAACATTTAGCTGCTTTATTTACTTCTAAGTGACAGTTCCATTTTCTCTTCTCTGTTGGAGAAAAGAGAATTAACAGCAGCAACAAATAGCTCTGGCTCCTTAACAGTGGTTTGCTGAAGTGTTCTGTTTCACCTGAGGCTTGGAGACTTTAGAAACTAGAGCTTGAATGCCCTTCTGCAATAGGGCAGGATGATGGAGGGGAATTTTATTCCCTCAGCCACCTGTATCCACTATTTGTCTCTTGCCTAATATTTAGATCATAAGCTCTTTGGGGTAGGGACTGTGTTTCTGTTCTGTCTTGTACAGCACCTAGCACAATGAGGTCATGGTCCATGCCTGGGCTCCTAGACACTACCAGAATACAGTAAATAAAGAGCAAAGGAAGTGTTGATGTGAAGCATGATCCTATAATGGATTTGTTATTATCTACTACAGTCAGTAAAAACAGAAAGTTAGGTTTACAGCCATTACTAGCAACAGAGAGTCCTGTGGCACCTTTATGACTAACAGATGTATTGGAGCATAAGCTTTCGTGGGTGAATACCCACTTCGTCAGACAAAGTGGGTATTCACCCACGAAAGCTTATGCTCCAATACATCTGTTAGTCATAAAGGTGCCACAGGACTCTCTGTTGCTTTTTACAGATCCAGACTAACACGGCTACCCCTCTGATACTAGACAGCCATTACTAGAAAATTCACAAATTTTTAATTTGATAGATACCAGCAATGTGCTCACGGTGGTACAAAAAAGGATACAAAATGAAGACTGTCCTTGCAGTTCAAAGTTCCCTACAGTGTGCAAATATATGGCAGTGTTTGCAATAGCATTATGGGGGGGAATTAGGGGTTTAGAAGTGTTGACTGGGAATAAGGGAGTGGTGGGGGAAAATGTCCCCATTCTAGAGAATTGAATTGGTTGATCATTATTTTACGTTGGAAAAGCTGAACCACTGAGTCGCAGACAGTAGAATAGAAAATGGAACTTTGTCCTTCAAGGCAACAGACACTTGGCATGATGACAGGTGTAGGGAAGGGATGTATGGGAGACTGGTAATATTTTGTTAGAATGGCAATGAAACACATTTTAAATAGCAGTTCTAGGCTTTTCCCATAACAATTTTAACTCAAATTCAGCTTATAGTAGAATGACTCAGCAGCAGGGGTATGATTTCATGTCAAACAGATTGGAAGTCTGAGGTCAGATTGATATAGGTTCTGGCATACTTAAAAGCATGTGAGGGAGCTGTATTTTAGTGTTTTCTTATTAACAAGAACTAGAGTTAAGATTGCCAAACAGTTTCAGTTATAACTATCATTTTCCACTCAAAGTTTTACCAAAAACAGTTCTCTTTTGTGTCTGGAATCATTTATACCCAGGTAACTTCACAGACTTCTCTTCAGTTCTTTCTGGTTTACACCAGAGCAAGAGAGATCAAAATCAAGCAATTAGTTTCTGCCTTGTTGTGAAGATCCTGATTCTTCCCTACCTTTAATCTCACGTGGTTGTTACTCCTGTGCAGTGAGCATTTTCCTACCAACATTTCTACGCTTTTTTTTTTACTTTAAACCAGGAAATTAAATTAAATGCATATATATATATATATATATATATATATATATATATATATATATATATATATATATATATATAT